TGTGTGTGTGTGTGTGTGTGTGTGTGTGTCTGTCTGTCTGTCTGTCTGTCTGTGTGTGTGTGTGTGTGTGTGTGTGTGTGTCTGTCTGTCTGTGTCTGTCTGTGTGTGTGTGTGGTTTAGGGGTCTGTGGCAGCTGTCTGGAGCGGGCCGTCTCCCCTGGTGAGGTGTCAGCGAGGTGCTAATGGCTAATACTCCACACAGCAGCTGCTGAGAGAATTACTGCAGCACCCTCTCCAAATATCTGCATCAACCATTTCATCAGCCCACTACAAGCCACACACAAAGCCTTCCACAGAAAAACGTGTTGCTTTAAAAGCTGCTTGAGTCAATGTGCATTTGTAGTACTCTATATTTTTCATCACTGTCAATCTATTCAATAAATGAACGTAGTCCTGCATTGACGTCAGACATCACTAGCAACATCAAACAAAGTTGAAAAAAAAAATAAATTCCAAACTGGTTTCCCAAACATACATCCATGTCTGGGACATTTCGAGAAAAGCGGGTAGTCCCGCAGAGTGCTGAGTATAGATTATGTAACTGATTATACAGAATCTCAACACTGAACTGACTTGAGCTGAATAACAACATAGTAGAGTTAGTAGAGCTGCTTATTGCTGAATCAAACATGTTTCATAATGAATTAACTTTACACAGTCATCCAACTAAACTGAACCAACTGAACCGAGTTGAGCTGAAAAATGACCTGTTATCTTACTAGTCGTAGATTTTGGATTTACGTATTGTTTGCAGTTTGCATCATTGGTTCTGTTACTTTCTTGTTTAACACTGTAAAGCAGCTTTGAAACAATATTTATTGTATAAAGTCCTATAAAAATAAAGGTGACTATAGTGACTAGACTTAATCTGGATTACGTAAACATATTCACAAAATTAAGTACTTTTAATTAGATTATATTGCATTTTAAAATGATCAGATCATAGTTTATTTTTTATTTATTACATTACATATTATTCATACAGTAAATTATTAATAATTTTTAGATTATCCCTAATTCCAATAATTCTCTTTACATCAACATGCAGGTAAACAAACAAACAAACAAAAAATATTTGTAATTTTATATTTTTATGATTTATGTATCAGTTTATCATCAACTCATGAAGCACCTGCAGCTCTTTTATAAACCCCAGTTTGAGAAACCCTGATGTAATGTGATGTTTAATGCACTTCATGTTGTTGATAAAAAAAAGAATGGAATATATTTTTCTTTCACTTGTGTATGTAAATGTAAATGCATTTTTATATTAATGTTATACAAAACAATGCTATGCAAATCAATGTGATAAGTTATATTAAAAGAAATATAAATGTAATCAAAATAGTCTGATTAGATTACCTAAAACATGTAATATAATAGATTACATTACTACAATTTTCATTATGTAATTTGTAATCAGAAGTACTGCAAGCACTGGTCACACCTTTGGTCGAGACTGAAGTTAAGGTTAGGGTTCAAATAAATTATTTACACACTTCACGCAGTCAAGCTTACTTATAGCCTCTGCACATTCAAGTAGTAGTAAAGCATTTTAACATAAAAATAAATAAATAAAATTTGCATTTAATATTTAAGAACCGTAACTATAACTCTGGATGCATTAAATCAGAAACTAATGCTTTGTACCACCAGAAACCAAAGATAAAACCTTTGCTGAGGAAAAGTGAAAAAGTAGTCAGCGCTGTGATTTTTGACATAGTAAATAAAGATGCTAAGAATGAACACAGAAGCGTTTCTCTCATCCAGACAGAGAGGAACTCACCTCCTGTGAGAGTTCCTGTTGCTGTTGACGTGGCCCCGGCCCGTGCAGCCAGGCGTAGGGCACTTAAGAACATTTTCATACATTGCAAGAACTTGACAGCAGGCGAGAGAAATAGGGTGGAAGATTAGGAGTTAGAGGCCCACAGTTAGTCATCTGCATTAGTGTGAAACACTCGTCATTATCACCAGCACGCTCAGAACCAGAGACATCAAACAGTGGCATGCAAAGAACTGCTAATGGAAGAGCAGTGGCATGCACATGCACCATGCAGCGCGAGTCATGCGACAAATAACATTCTATTCTATTCTATTCTATTCTATTCTCTTCATATTTCATGTTTAAAAAATAATACTTAAATAGTAACCTATTAGTAAATACTTAAAATGCAAAAAGAATATATAAATAGTACAAAATATCTATAAAATAAAATAAAATAAAAAGTGGTTTACTTAGAATAGCTTCCATAAACTAAAAAGTGAGCTAGTAATTATACAGCTATTAATCTAACACTATGCATATATGTTCACTTGTAGTATAATTCACAGTATTGAAGTACAAAAATACAACTTAAAAATAAACTACAGTATTTGTGTACTCAAAGTTTATCACAGTTACTTACACTTAAATTACATTTAACAGTAAACTTTTATAATCTAAAGAGTGGGCCAGTTTAATCACAGGAAGTGTTGATTAGTACTCTTACAAGTATACTACTAGTACACTGATTTTAGTATACTTGCTAAATAAAGCATACTTGAAAGATATACTTAAACTTGACTTAAATTAACTTAATAAAATGTATTTCTTTTTTGAAAGGTTATAAGCACTATAGAGGATCTAAAAGAACAAACAGGAACTCACCTTAACACTGAATGTTAATGAAAGCATAAGAAAGCTCACCATACTTACATGTAGTTAATAACAATGTTAGATATTATTATTTATGCATTTAAGCAATGTTTATTTTTTTATTATTTACCCAATTGATACCCATTATTATTATTATTATATTTATTATTGTATTTAAGCAATTCTTTTTAATGCATTATATACATAATGCATTTAAAATGACAAAATTTGGGAATCATTTTATAACGTTCAATAAGGTTAATTAACATTATAACATTCTTCAATGCTTAACACACCGAGTAAGCTGAAGAACTGTTTAAAGAACCTAGAAGCAGCTCTGTAGGTGTTATTCTATTCTATTCTATTCTATTCTATTCTATTCTAGCCATATAGTTAAAGGTATACATCAAGTATAAAAAATAATACCTGAATAGGAAGCTAGTAGTATGATTAAAGTGCAAAAACAATATATAGGAAATAGTAAAGCTCAAAACTTACTTGAAGTATCAAAACCTTTAAAAATTAAGCTTTAGCGTTAGTTCTGGCAGGTCACGTGAGTCAAGCTTGCATCAGCTGATTCTCAGCTGATCACATCTACCTATAGGAATACGACACCTATCGTGGCATTCCTACTTACTTGAAGTATCAAAACCTTTAAAAATTAAGCTTTAGCGTTAGTTCTGGCAGGTCACGTGAGTCAAGCTTGCATCAGCTGATTCTCAGCTGATCACATCTACCTATAGGAATACGACACCGATCGCGGCATTCTTATATAAGCTCTATTCAGTATTATTCAGCAGCTTTTCAGCTTGCTCCGGAGCAAATTACCCTCCTCCATCCCCAGCTCCTCCTTTCACCACAGTCAGGACTTGGCTTTCTGATATTCCTTGCTAATCAGACTCCTTTATCTTGAATAAAGTGTTACACTTAAATATCATTAAGTACATTAATGATATCTGCCTTGTTCTGTTCTGTTAACCCTAGGGGGGTTATTACTGCTGCTCTCCCTGCTCATTCATGACAGGCTGCATGGATGGGCAGGGAGGTTTTTGCCCAGAACAGGACCATACCGCCAAACCAAACTTTATGCTAAGTATCTATCATTTTGACGATAGTGGTCCTGACAGAACCTATAGTTTACTGAAAGTATCTTCAAAGTGTACTTCTATAAACTAAAAAGTGGGCTACAAGAAAAGTATACAACTAGCAAACTAACACTATAGATATACAGTAAGTTCACTTTTAGTTGCATACACAAAGTTTACCACAGTTACACTTAAAGTGCCCTTAAAAGTAAAGTTTTAAAAAGTGGACCAATTCAGTCACAGTCACAAGAAGTATTGAAATACATACAAATATACTACTAGTATATTGATTTTAGTATATTTACTGAAAAAAGTGCATTAGAAAAATATACTTGAATTTAAATTAACTTAAAATGAAATTGAAGTAAAATTATGATATCACTTTATAATAACTTTAATTAACTTAAACATTATAATATTCTATAATGCTTAACAATAATGCTTAATTCCTACACTGTAAAAAATGATATGATGAAAAAGCCATGACAACTTATGTTTTTAAGTTACTTTAACTGACTATACAGCGAACTAACTAAACCGCGGAGGAATTTCAGACGAACAACTCATGAACTTGAGGAAGCTGTCCGTTGGGCTGCGCGCGAAGAAGCGAATGCTTGTGTAACATCATTTTTGGGAGATTATTGATAATTTTAGCAGAATAGAGCAGAATTAGTTATGTTCTGTCATTGTTTTCCGAACTGTTTTTAACAGTTACCTTTCAAGTTTTGTATTTCTGATACGGTGGCCGCTGTGCTATGCTGCATTAGCACTGCAGATTGTAATGTAACGTTTGAGATTTGACACACATTTGTTTCTCCGCTTCGTGCGTTTGAGTTGGTAACTTATTCGTTACTGAGTAAAGTTAAGCGTTTTTTTTTTTTTTTATTATTTTATTTTTTTTTATCAAGCGTTCAAGCTAGGATAATATAAGTTAACTTGAGGTAGACGACGCCCGAGCTGTTTTCTACG